TATATAGTGCGCAAAAATTATAAACACTGATAAGATTTGATAGTTGAGTACTGGAAAATCACACGAAAATTTATAAAAACTATTTGCTATTATTTTTATTTAGATTTTATTTATCAGCTAAGATATTGTTATAGATTCTTCTATTTATTCGTTTTCAACTCAAGAATTAGTTTATGCAAATTTTCGCTGAGTTTATCATTAATTTAAGCAATTTCTTTGATTGTTTTGAACTTCTCAGTTGAATAACTTTTTGAGAAATTCATGCCATCAATGATGTTTTTTACCGGATGCGGAAAGTTGCGATTTTCGTGCGTCTGGAAGTGTACGGTGTCTTCGAATTAATATACTTTTCGTGCTAAATTTATTATTCGAATTCAATGCAAATTTTTAAAATACAATAGAGTATGTTAGTAAGAATAAACAAAAATAGCAACAAGAAGAAAAAACAGAAATTAATTTTCAAGGCTTAATTAAATTAATTTTGTACATTTTGTCTAAAATTTGTAAATATGAAAAGTTTTATGTTTAGAATACAAATCAAATTAATAATTTTTTTAAAAAATGTTAATTCAATAATTTATTATAATTATTGATTTGTTAATAAGTAATTAAAAATAACAGTTTACTTTAAGAATGTATGACATAAATAATTGGAAAGAGTAACAACCTTTAGCGATTGGCTCTCAACATCAAACTATTATAACATCATAAATCTCTCTAATTTATCATGTTTCTTTTGAGTACAATTAAATAAAAAATTTATTAGATATAATAATTATAAGCTTTAAATTTTTTGGATTAACTTTTTTAGAACAGAAATTTTTTAAAATATTCTTTATTATATAAAAAAGGCTAATGAAACTTATCTTTAATTAAAGTTCTTTAAAACAAGGTAAACTGTATATCACAAAAAAATATTTATTTGGTATAGTTTACTCTTCAATTTTAAGTCAGATTTATATATGATATGTAATAAATAGTTATCGGGAGAATCACGAATTCTCCTGATGAAGGCAAAGGCGAGTTTCCCGAACCACGTGTAAACTTACACAAAATACAACGTCCGAAATAAAAGTTAAAATATTAAAAACAAATTCCGACTTTAAAATAGTTTTTAGTTATATAAAAATGAAAAAAACCTTTTTAGTGGTATATTAATAAGATTCTATAAAAGCACTGACCTTGGAGGAAATAATAATAGCTGTTTAAAACAAAGTCTTAAATCTTTGTACTCTTTGGTAGAGGCCCTATGCTCTACGAGGAGAAAAGGACAGTACGAGAGCGACGAGACTTTTTGAGAAGGCGAGAAAATAAAACTGAAATCAAGATAAAATAATTCTCAAGAAGTTTAAATGTCGATATAAAGTAATTTACAATAACTGCATTATTTGATTGTTTCTATGGTTTATTGATTTAATTTACTAATACATTTTTATAGGCTTTACACAAAATTTTTTATTAAAAACCAAATTTTAGATCATTATTTTTATTTACTGACGGTAGTTAAAATATTATTTAATAAAAAACAAAAAAAAACTAATTAAAATTATGTTTTAAATAAATAATTTGGTCTAAACTCCACAAAAAATTCATTAATAATAACTTAGTTAACATCATATGAATCTCGGGATCGATGAATACAATACTTAATAGGTTTCTTTGATATATTAAAAAAACGATTCAACGAATATTTTAAAATAATCAATATGAACATTAGTCATATAATAATGAACCCTTCTATATACACCATAGTATTGTAATTTACATTCTGATATAAATATTCATAGACTAAATACATAAGTAAATCACTGTCGTAAAAAACTCACTTCAAGTGAAAAACACTTATTATACCATACTTTGTTTTGATATTTGATTAAGTATCGATAAAGATATTCTAAAAAAAAAACAAAATACTTCAGAATTAAATAATAGTGATTAATTAGAGTTTTACTACATATACAAGTATTTCATTTTTAATAGAGAAATTCCTTAGGTAATTTGTTTTTATCAATTAAAATAGTTCCTATAGATTCCAATGATGGTTGGAAGTGTGAAAACGAAAAGTTGATGACATATTAGAGAAATTACAAGCTAATTTCATTAAATATAAAAGTTTTATGTACCTAATGACGTCAGAACTATTATTGTAAATAAAATAACAACATATTCACTAATAAGGAATATATAAATGTTTACATTAAAATACCCTCATATACTTTAACAAAACATCATATTTTAACTTTTATTTAGAAAGAAATAAGCTCCTTCGAATAAATAAATACAAAACAGCTAAGACTACAAAATATTTGTATATCGATCAGTCATATTCAAATAATAACATAGCTACTGAAACTGAAAACAGCCTCAAGAAAGATGAAGAATAAGAAGATGGTCATAGCAAAAAGAATGGTAAAGACATCTTTATTTTATTGAAAACATTTTTCCAAAATTCTCGGACATATTGTTTTCAGGTAAACCAGCACACTCGAATTCATGGTAGCTGCTACGTATGAGTGATATTATTATTACTAAAATAACAAACTTATACGCAGTGTCGTCCTAAACAATTTGGAACCAATGAATCCAATAAAAAATTGCAGACTTTACAATTTATAGTGTATCAACTCATACACTAATTAAAATTGACGAGCCTAGTACGTTCCACATTATGCGTTGAAAATATTATCGCTTTGGTTATGCAAAGCGATCGTATAATTAGCCCAAATAATGTACGATAAATATAGCCTGATGTTTCTTCGTAGGTAGGAAAGTGTAAATATTGTGGTTACCGCATCTCAGCTGAGTATTCAATAATGACTGTTTTGATCTATACACTAATCAAAACATTGTGCCGTGAGAATACCACAGCTCTGGTTATGTGCGTCTCAATCCAAAATACATAACTAGATAAAGCCCCACACTTTACACTTTGTTACTGCGTCTTAACGGACTGTTCGATATACTTATGTATAT